GCAACCTTTATGCCAGATTTTTTACAGTTACGCGTAGTAACGCTTCAAAACGAACGATATCTGCTGGCCGTTGTCGGTAAACAAGGCTCGAACGAGGTGAATGCGGCGGCGCTGCTTTCAGGTGCGAGGTCATCGGCGCGCGACATACGTGCCAGCTCAACGTTTTACAAACGTTGTTCCAGCCTCCATGGCTACAATGTACTATCGTGGCGTCGAATACGAGGGCTTCTGTGATTGTTTGGCGCGGCCAAAACGATTGTTAGATCTGAAGTGGCATCGGAGCATAAATTCCTCCGTGTAGTCATTTGCGAAACTTTTTCAATCGGTTCCTGGTAGGCAGCACGAATTATTCCGTTCGTACCTCATCAGTCGCCAACAGAAGTTACTGTATGTGTATCGCGATTTGGGAATAATCGTTTATCCTCTCTTTTTATGAAATGTGGCATGACCCTAGGTATAATTTGGCTCGTCATTTTTTAACGTATAAGAACAATATAGTCAGTATTGATGCAAGCTCAAAATTTATATTCTGTGCACGGGCCCTTGCGTCAAATTGTGATCACGTATTTCGAAATCTTTTATTCTGGTCACATTTTAACTGCCTTAAAACGAATACTGCTAAAACCATCGCGTTTTTTTTTTTTTCATGCCAAAAATAGGTCGGTTGACTTATACCGGAGGCAAGTTGTTGACATTCTTCGCATTACAGGTAAGTCGAATCTCTCGTGGGACACTCACATCGACTATTCATGAAAAAAATAGAAAGTTTTCAATGCGCGCAGGAGCTACGTCGTAGTGTCGCAATATCCTTTCATTGCGCGTGACAATGCAAATTGTTTATCCACTCTTCGCGTCCGATATTATTTGTATTTTAGTATGGTTGGCCCCTGTGTAACAAAATGTCACAAGGCTATACTTATTGCAGCAGAAAGCCGTTTGCACGGTCCCCACTCTTGATTACGTAATCTTGCACAGAATATTACATCGAGCCGTACAGCATTACGAAAGTACATCACGTGTGCGCACCTATACGTCTTAATTCACCCGCTATTAAACACATGCGTCACACATGCCAAATATTGAATTACGATACGTGAATAGATTGCGAAGGTATGTGACTGGTGCAAACATGATAATCATGAGATGCGTGTCATTTAACAACATGACTACATGCCACTCCCATGATGCGCTGCCAGCCGTTTCGCTAGCTTCACTAATACAAAATTTTGTATTACGGGAGGGGAATGGATGACGAAGTTATGATACTGGTGCAAATATGATAAACGTGAGATGTGTGTAATGTATAAACATGGCTACATGCTACGCTCATGATGCGCTCGCGGCCGTTTCGATAGCTTCACATGTACCAAACTCGGTATTACGCGAAGCGAACGGACGACATAGGTAAATGACACATACAAACATGATAATCACGACATGCGCTCCATGTAACAACATGTCTACATGCCACACTCATGATGCGCTCATGGCCGTTTCGCTAGGTTTGTATATGTCAAATTTGGTATTACGTGACCTCAATGCATGAAGTAGGTATGTGACTAGTGCCAACATGATAATCATGAGATGCGTATCATGTGAGAACATGACTACATGCCACAGTCAGGGCGCCAATACATTTCGACATTACGCGGTGCACGTGCTCAACGGCGTTCATTTCGACGGGTCATGCTGGCGATACTAAGCCAGGCTACAGTGTGCTAGAAGGGGGCAGTGGGATGACCCAGGAGGCCGCGCCGCATCTCGGCTGATAATCCGGTGGGTGACAGTATAGGCGGTGCTGTAGTCGCATGGTACTGAAAATCTCATGAGCGTTTACATTGGGAGCGTGCGCTCCATAGCCTGCAAAAGCATTAATTTGCTAGTTTTAGCTCGTTTATTGCGTTTCTGAGCCGTTATCAGTGGATTCGCCTGCTACGCTCCATGTTGCATGAGTGAATATGCAGGCACGTGGAAATCGCGTCGATACATTCACTGTTTTAAAAACCTGCCAGCCCACCCACCCACCCACCCACACACACACACACACACACACACACACACACACACACACACACACACACACACACACACACACAATAATCGGAATTTGCATGGATTTGTCTAGTTTCTCACTTAACCAGCGATTTTAGCTGCGTTACATCATAAGTGCTACTGGCGACCTCAAAACCATACGCTCGTTTTATCGGCTGTCTCTACGATATCCAGAGCACACTGTTCGTCATATGAGCCTACATGCGCTACGTTACGAGAAACTCGAGTATACGTAACGTTGTCACAACATTTATATCGCTGACGACTCAGTTTTATCATGCCTGTTTTGAGGAAGATAACAATTATTGCTTTCTGAGAGGCTTAATTATTACTTATTATACAACACGATTATTATTGTGTGGGATCTGCCAGTTTGTTTACAACCGAATCGCTATAAAACTCTGCACCCACACACCATTTAGTAGACCTCACATTTGAGACGATGCCAAGCGCACTTCACGATGTGGTTGAAGCAGAAAGTGGCACCCACTTTAGAATTATTCTGGTGAATGGAAGGTATGACGACAATAAACAGCACTCTGTAAAGTTGCATTCGCCGATCTTATTGCAATGCATTAGCAGCCGAGCAAGACCAAATGCTTTCGTGCGTCGTTTTAGGCATACGAAAAAGACAGTTACACTCGCGCTGACATGAGCGGATAAACCACACTTTGTGAACGTGCATGACGTACGCGCACTTCGAAACACGATGTGGCTAGTAGACGACGCACGGAGCAATCCGCACTTCGCCGCTTTGTCCAGTTGCCGCTAGGTCAATATCTCGCGGTCAATAGTCTTCATTTTATTTATCTCACACATTTTTCTATTCAATTTCGTAATAACTCCAAAGGCCTCCTGAGCAAAGCCTATAAGCCCCAAAACGAATGTTTCGCCATCGCTTGTCCTTATAAGAGATAAAGACGCGAATTACCGGTACCTGTAAGGGTCACTTTTCTTCTTCATAGAAAGATTGTGCTACTATTAGTGAACGGTTTATCGTGCGTGGTACAAAGCGGCAGGTGCGTTAACGATCACTCAGAGAAGTGCTATATGTCGCGAGTTTCTCGATCACGCATAGCGTCAAGAGACCCCACGGAGGAAGGAAAGGTAAGGAGATGCCCTGACGTCACTCGTTGTGGAGCCGCAATGAAGCCGGAAGTCGGCCATGTTGACCGGGCAAATTCTCCTTTCTTGTTTACATATGAATGCGAAGCAGAAGGCGCGACTCCCTCTCTGTCTCAAAAAGCACGTGGCCTGCGCGCCACGTGCGCCGGTGCTATTCGAAACCAACGCAACGGATTTCAACACGCTGTCTTGCCGCGATACGGTTGACGAAATCTCTGCGTATAACTGTTGTACTCTTGCACTGCCGGCCTTTACGATAAACACGGCAAGTTGCTCGTTGACCTTTTTCTTTTATTTGATTTGTTCTTTGTGAAAATAAAGATGATATTTTGGACATTGCCGCGCGACGAACCAGGCACCGAAATTCGTACAGCTTCTTTCAGATCACTTTTTTCCCCCTTTTGCGCTTCTTCTTGTGCTTTATGAAATTTTCGGTCACGCTGTGGGCTAGACACGATAAAAAAAGAAAAAAATGGCTTGCCTGCAATAAACCCAGAGGTCCTTAATTATGCCAGTAAAGTCGGCGTCGGTGGAGCTTGTGTGCGTGGCAGCCCGTTGAGTTTGCGCCGGCCTAGTTGTTTTCGCCCCTCTTTTGTCCGACGCACTCTGGTTCCTACGGATATCCCAAAGGCCATGATTTCATTAGGACGAAAGCAGCGAAGACCACCAGAAAGTGCGTGAAAACACGACTCCAGTGTGATTCACGCGCACTAGTAGCTATGGACAACGGAGACCAGGATCGCGTTAGGGCGAAAGGTGGGAAAGTTACCCTAAGGAATGCGTGAGAAAAGGTCAACATCACTTGGTGAACATCGTTCGAACGGCTTCTGAATGCACAAGCACGCGCATGTAGTGAGGTGCACCTAGTTACCTTGTGCAGGTGCGTATAGACATTTTAACGAGTTTTGCTACAATACAGACAATATTGCGGAGAGCGAGACAATATTGCGAAGAGGGAGCGTCTTAAGCGAAGCAGAACAGGAACTTTAATGCGCAGAAGCATGTGGTAACTATACAGGAACTTGAAAAACAAGATTATATTACAGTCTTAATAAGGGACCGAGGACTGCAAATGCATCGTTCGTTGTCATAAGAAGCAACACCGCATAACTGTCACGAACCTGCAAGGCGTTCATTGAACGATTTCTTGAGCACAGTCGTTATCTTCTATGATGGCTTTTCAGCATAATTTTGATGGACGCTGCAAATTCGGAGTACGTATACGTGCGCTCGTTCCGTGGTCTCTAGTTCAGATACCTGGTTACAACCACCACCGGAGGAAAATCGCGGAGCTAACAATGCGGCACAAAAAATGGATGCTGTCGAACACCTGCAGTACGCCACGGTTAGGTGCGAGGCCCATGAAAACGCGCACACCACCGCTGGACCGCCTGAACGTTGCCGCACCGCACTACATCAATAATAACAAAACGCCGCCATTGTGCCCAGTGAATATGGCCGCGCGTGACGTATATTCCGCCACTTTTTTTACGCCCTGCGCCGGCTGGGCATGCCCTTCCTTACCTTTCCTTCTTCCACGAGTGACCCTTTTGATTTTCTCACCATTGTGCATGTCTCCTATACGTGCCTTTGTTTTTTTCAGAAAAGAGAGACAGCGCTCCTCCTGTGCTCCTCTTCCTACTTCGTCTTTTATCTCTGCATCAACAGTGCAAAATATTTCAACTATGCCAACTTTCCGTTTTAATGGGCGCATTTATTCAGGCGGTAAAGAAGTCTATAGACGTCGCCTTGTACAAAAAGTGGACGTCACCCAGGCGTGTTGTATTTGACCACGACGTTGTTTCGCTCGTGGATCCATTTGGTTACGATCCACTTGAAGCCCCACAAAACGGGGCAACCGACGTGCGTCGTGAACGTATCCGCCCGCCTTTCTGGTACCAGAAGGACATCTGCTCGGGGAACTCGCTCCCATCGTGCGGTTCTACGTCGTACCAAAAGAGGGCATCGCCGACCCGTAGTTTGACCGCGATGCCCAGATTGACAAATGCCGTGGCTCCTCCCGCACCTACGTTGGACAGGTACACAAACATGGTGGCCAGCCGGTTGCCGTCCGCGATGTCCACGTGCTTGGCGACCTTCTCGAAGTGGTGAGCGTCCATGCGGGGCGTGTAGTAGCCGCCGAGGCAATAGTTGGCCACCTGGTAAGCTTCCGCGGATTCCAGCGACAAACCAGTCGTAATGAATATGCGCCTAGACAGCAGCTGCAGCCTATCGCTGTCCGAGTTCCAGAGCCAAGATACCTGAAAATAAAACGCGGGAATGTTCAGTTTGTAATAAAATTCTGCTACACTTGTTTGCATGTTTGTTTGATTGATTTGTGTGGTTTAACGTCCCAAAACCACCACATGATTATGAGAGACGCCGTAGTGGGGGCTCCAGAAATTTCGACCACCTGGGGTTCTTTAACGTGCACCCAAATCTGAGCACACGGGCCTACAACATTTCCGCCTCCATCAGAAATGCAGCCGCCGCAGCCGGGATTCGATCCCACGAAACACAGAAGAGCTAAAAACTTCTAGTAAACGTCCAAAAAGGATAGTCCAAAAGTATATAAGAAGTCTTGTTGAGATGTCATTTTAACCTAAGCAGCTTGAAAACCTCCTGTAGCTGACCGTATCAGAGCTCTCGCCAGTGGTGCCCCATCCTCGGACTCCTGACCGTGTCAACCTTTCTTGTCTTCTCCTTACTTCCGTCGCTCCCTCTGCCTCGCTCTCTCCTTCCCCTCTCTACCTTTTAATCCTATCCTTTTATTCCTTTCTCTACCCCCATCCCTCGTGAGCTACTGTTGAGGTGTCCTCACCCTGAAGGACAGTTATGGGGCTCACTTTTTCTCTTCTTTTCATTAATAATCTCTTATCTCCCCCCCCCCCCGTTCTTATCAATGTAGAGTACCTGGTACTCTACTATAGGAGAGCGAAAACCCGTCCCTTCAGCCCCTCCCATAACATGGGTCTGCAGGGCATTCTTACTGCACCAAAATGATCGAGACCTAGTGTGTTTAGAAAAAGTTGTTAACAATTTAGAGTACGATGTACTCAACTATGGGAGAGCAGACGTGTTTGACCTTCGCCATTCAACGCTATAAAAAGACGCCAGACAATGGTCACTCGATGCGAGTTCATCCCGGTAGACCACAAAAAGTCACTGGGAAGGAGCAATTTTAGAAACAAAAAAATGTGTCATCATTCAGTAAAAACAAGCAGGAATGGTACAGGAGATTCTCAAAGTGTATGAGGAAGGCAACCTTTATGCCAGATTTCCTACAGTTACGCGTAGTAACGCTTCAAAACGAACGATAGCTGCTGGCCGTTGTCGGTAAACGTGGTTCGAACGAAGTGAATGCGGCGGCGCTGCTTTCAGGTGCGAGGTCATCGGCGCGCGGCCTACGTGCCAGCTCAACGTTTTACAAACGTTTTTCCAGCCGCCATGGCTACAATGTACTATCGTGGCGTCGAATACGAGGGCTTCTGTAATTGTTTGGCGCCGCCAAAACGATTGTTAGCTGTGAAGTGGCATCGGAGCATGAATTCCTCCGTGTACTCATTTACAAAACATTTACAATCGGTTCGTAATAAGCAGCCCGAAATATTCCGTTCATACCTCATCAGTCGCCAACATAAGTTACTGTATGTGTATCAGAATTCGGGAATAATCGTTTATCCTCCCTTTTATGAAATGTGGCATGACCCAAGGGTTGCTCGTCATTTTTAACGTATATTAACAATATAGTAAGTATTGATGCAAGCTCAAAATTTATTGTCTGTGCACAGGTCCTTGCGTCAAATTTGATCACGTCTTTCGAAAACTTTTATTCTGGTCACATTCTCACTACTTCAAAACGATTGCTGCAAAAACCATCGCACTTTTTTTTTCATGCCAAAAATAGGTCGGTTGACTTATACCGGAGGGAAGTTGTTGACATTCTTGGCGTTACAGGTAAGTCGAATCTCTCGTGAAACACTGACATCGACTATTCATGAAAAAAATTAGAAAGTTTTATATGCGCGCAGGAGCTATGTCGTAGTGTCGCACTATCTTTCATTGCGTGTGAAAATGCAAATTGTTTATGCACTCTTCGCGTCACATATTATTTGTATTTTAGTATAGTTGACCCCTACGCACCGAAACGATACAAGGCTATACTTATTGCAGCAGAAAGCCGTTCGCAAAGTCCCCACTCTTGATTACGTAATCTTGCACAGAATATACCTCGAGCCGTACAGCATTACGAAAGTACATCACGTGTGCGCACCTATACGTCTTAATTCGCCCGCTATTAAACACATGCGTCACACATGCCAACTATATTATTACGATACGTGATTAGATTGCGCAGGTATGTGACTGGTGCAAACATGATTATCATGAGATGCGTGTCATGTAACAATACGACTACATGCCACTGCCATGATGCGCTGCCAGCCGTTTCGCTAGCTTCACTTATACCATATTTTGTATTACGGGAGGGGAATGGATGACGAAGTTATGATACTGGTGCAAATATAATAAACGTGAAATGTGTGTCATGTATAAACATGGCTACATGCTACGCTCATGATGCGCTCGCGGCCGTTTCGATAGCTTCACATGTACCAAAATCGGTATTACGTGACGCGAACGTACGACATAGGTAAATGACACATACAAACATGATAATCACGACATGCGTGCCATGTAACATGACTACATGCCACACTCATGATGCGCTCGTGGCCGTTTGGCTAGCTTTATATATGTCAAATTGGTATTACGTGACGTCAATGCATGACGAAGGTATGTAATAGTGCAAACTTGATAATCATGAGATGCGTGTCATGTGAGAACATGACTACATGCCACAGTCAGGGCGCCAATACATTTCGACATTACGCTGGGCACGTGCTCAACGGCGTTCATTTCGACGGGTCACGCCGTCATTTCATTTTCCAAATGAAAGGCGTTACAAACCATGAATCACGGCGAATTCCTGGAGAGACCAGCCAGGGGTGAACAGGGGACGGTGCGTCAGGCTGCGGATACGCCTGCGGCGAGCGCTGTGCCGCAACAGAATTACTGCTGCCATCGCGTTGTGCAGTGTTAGCCAAGACACCAACCACAACCATAAAGTACAGCTGGTGCAAACTGAGAAAAATACCAACACAGCCATCGCGGTGGCGGAGCGACAACTGCGTAAACAACCGCAGCCCACAGCGGCGAGAGGCGAGAGCACAGGCTTGGAGGAGTGGAAACCGGTACCGGAAGACGGACTTTCGGCTCGCCTCGACGCAAAGCGTCGCTGCGATCACCGCTCACCTCAACTCGTCCGTGCGAGTTCATATAAACTCGGGCGCGCCGAGGTAAGCTGAACCCGCCACTCAACTCAGCCCGCCCCCGTCGCGTCCATGTACACGGGGCTGTCTAGGGCAAAATCCTCTAACATGGGGCTGGCACGGCCTTAAATAACGTCTTTGGTCCATTCTCTCAGACCAGTTCTCGGGCTCGGAGGGGGAGACGTAGCCATATCCGGAACTGCAAGGTGGTTCGGCGGAGGAAGCGACGTTATCCCCGGAACTGCACGGTTCTTCTGCACGGACGGCGGCGCTGGGAGGGGGGGAGACAGTTCGTCGAAACAGCGCTTGATCTTGTGAGACGTACTCCCGAACGAGGAAAATGTCTGTGGCACAACACAGTATAGGTGGTCACATGGTACTAAATATCTCATGAGCGTCTACATTGGGAGCGTGCGCGCCATAGCCTGCAAAAGCGTGAATTTGCTAGTTTTAGCGCGTTTAGTGCGTTTCTGAGCCGTTATCGGTGGACGCGCCTGCTACGCGCCATGTTGCATGAGTGATTATGCAGGCACGCCGAAATTGCGTCGATACACTCACACGCACGCACGCACGCACGCACGCACGCACACACACACACACAAAATGTCACTCGGAATTTGCACTGATCCATCTAGCTTCTCACTCAACCAGCGATTTGAGCTACGTTACATCATAATAAGTGGCTACTGGCGAACTCAAAAAGAGTAGAAGTATCAAAAGCACAATTAAATCATACGCTCGTTTTATCGGCTGTCTGTGCGACATCTAGAGCACACTGTTCCTCATATGAGCCTACATGCGCTCGATTGTTTTACGAGAAACTCGAGTATAAGTAACGTTGTCACAACATTTATATCGCTGACGACTGTTTTATCATGCCTATTTTGAGGAAGATGGCAATTATTACATTTTGATAGACTTAGTTATTACTTAATATACAACACAAGTATTATTGTGTGGGATCTGCCAATGTTTTTACAACCAAATCGCTATAAAACGCTGCACTCAAACACCATTTAGTAGTCCTCATATTTGGAAGGATGCCAAGCGCCTTTCACGATGTGGTTGAAGCAGAAAGCGGCACCCACTTTAGAATTATTCTGGTGAATGGAGGGTACGACGACAATAAAGAGCACTCTGGAAAGTTGCATTCGCCGATTTTATTGCAATCCATTAGCAGCCGAGCAAGACCAAATGCTTTCGTGCGTCGTTTTAGGCATACGAAAAAGACAGTTACACTCGCGCTGACATGACCTGATAAACCACACTTTGGGAACGTGCATGACGTACGCGCACATCGAAACACGATGTGGCTAGTAGACGACGCACGGAGCAATCTGCACTTCGCCGCTTTGTCCAGTTGCCGCTAGGTCAATATCTCGCGGTCAATAATCTTCATTTTATTTATCTTACACATTTTTCTATTCAATTTCGTAATAACTATAAAGGCCTCCTGAGCAAAGCCTATAAGCCCCAAAACGAATGTTTCGCCATCGCTTGTCCTTATAAGAGATAAAGATGCGAATTACCGGTACCTGTGAGGGTCACTTTTCTTCTTCATAGAAAGATTGGGCTACTATTAGTGAACGGTTAATCGTGCGTGGTACAAAGCGGCAGGTGCGTTAACGATCACTCAGAGAAGCACTATCAGTCACGATTTTCACGATCACGCCTAACGTCAAGTGACCCTTTTGACTTTCTCACCATTGCGCATGTCTCCTATACGTGCCTTTGTTTTTCCAGATGAGAGACAGCGCTCCTACTGTGCTCCCCTTACTACTTCTTCTTTTATCGCTGCATCAACAATGGAAAATATTTCAACTATCCCAACTTTCCGTTTTAATGTGCGCATTTATTCAGGCGGTAAAGAAGTCTACAGACGTTGCCTTGTACAAAAAGTGGACGTCAACCAGGCGTGTTGTATTTAACCACGACGTTGTTTCGCTCATGGATCCACTTGGTTACGATCCACTTGGAGCCCCACAAAACGGGGCAACCGACGTGTGTCGTGAGCGTATCCGCCCGCCTTTTCTGGTGCCAGAAGGACATCTGCTCGGGGAACTCGCTCCCATCGTACGGTTCTACGTCGTACCAAAAGAGGGCATCGCCGACCCGTGGTTTGACCGCGATGCCCAGATTGACAAACGCCGTGGCTCCTCCCGCGGCTACGTTGGACAAGTACACGAGCATGGTGGCCAGTCGATTGCCGTCCGCAATGTCCACATGGTCGGCCACCTTCTCAAAGTTGTGGGCATCCATGTGGGGCGTGTAGTGGCCACCGAGACCGTAGTTGGCCACCTGGTAAGCCTCCGCGGATTCCAGCGACAAACCAGTCGTAATAGATATGCGCCGAGACAGCCGCTGCAGCCTATCGCTGTCCGAGTCCCAGAGCCAAGATACCTGAAAATGTAATGTGGGAATGTTCAGTTTATAAACAAATTCTGTTACATACTTGTTTACATGTTCCTACTAAATACAATGTCCTTCACTAATTACAATTTCCTTCAAATATACAGCAGGAAATGTGTGATTGCAACATGGCTTTTTCGTTAACTTTACTGGTAGCTTGTTTGAGTATCTAATAAATTAAGGTTACAGCGTCAAAGAGCTCCTTTTGCAAAAATTCCGGCGTCGATGTTGACGCCCTTGGTTGTGAGCGAAAAATGATTATGTTCTTTGTGACCGACAAATCCAGGAAGCTGCAAATAAATTAAATAATAAAATGTTCGATCCCGAGTAAGGATGAACGCAGGACATCTGCGTGGCAAGCAGCTCTTCTATCTGAAAGCCTCAGTATCTGTTCAAACTGCCTTTGAAAAAAAACGCTATATGAATGTCACATAGTAGAAGGAATCATCTCGGCGCAGGATATATTGCGTGGCGGAAGCGTAGAATCGCACCAGGCTTCAAAGAATGTGAATTGGGCAACGAGGAAGTGTTTTAAAAACCCACTCACTACGAAGCGCTCACAGATATTTAATCAGTAGCAGCAAAAGCACCGAAAAGGTGAACAGCTGCGTAGTTCACGTGTTGCCCTATACGGACACGTAGAAGGCCCTTCGCTGATTCTCAAAAGGAATAATTATGGCGTAGTGGGCAGTGGGGACTGAACAAACGTGCTTGCAACAAGCATTCATTGAGGATGCTTTGAAACGGCCAATGTTACGCACCAAGTGGTTTGTTTCCTTGAAGTACTGTCGAAGCGTGCAACCACAATTGAAGCAGGCTCTGTTCAGCAGTCAATGCGCACAAGGCCCGATCACGATGTCGCGATGTGTTCTTTAAGGCGAAGCTCAAGCGTCCTCCACTATTCACCTTCGAATTCCGATTGCGGCGATCGAATTTTCCGTGGAGGGGAAAATTTTTGAGGCCCGAGTGCCCAGATTTAAGTGCACGTGGAAGAACCCCACGAGGTCAAAATTTCCCCAGCCCTACACTACGACATTTCTCATTATCATATGGTAGTTTCAGGACGTTAAACCCCCTCAATTATTTTTATTTGTAATATTAATAATATAATTTTGTTATGAGTAAAATAAGATTAAATAGAGACCACTCTGATTTTTAGTTGTGAACCACGTAGTGACGTCAAAATTATTGCTGCTGTGCCATAAGGCCTAGAGAACACACGAATAAATATCACAGCATATCCACGAGGTGAATGATGATGAGTGTGGCGAATTACGGACGGAGAAATGGACGCGCAGACGGACGCACGGATGGATGGACAGACGGACGAACGAACTGACTTACGGATGGAGGGACGCACGGGAGGACGGATGCTTCGCCTCACTCATCATCATCCGTGAATATGCTGTGACACCGTTTTTATTGACATGCAATGCAATGTAACTGGCTACTGCGATGACTACGACGACACAAGACACACGGCATGAGGAGCTTCGCTTCTAAAATCCGTAAACATAGGTTGTGTTGAGCCGACGCTTCAACGTGCGGGCTGATTGTATTTCTCAATGCTAGAAGGGAACACTGCATTTGTGTGTTTACGTGATTCTCTGACGTCTCCAATTGGGGGCCTTGATCGCTATATGAAGCGGCCAGGCTTTGGAGACTTTTTGTATCACTAGAAATTTCATTGACGGTGTGAACTGGCACGTCGTGCCCAGCTACTTGAGAACGCAACAAATGGGATATCCAGTAAAAGAGTGTGACACATACCGCACGTTAGTAATAACTTTTCAGTCTTTTTTACAGTGCTTGAATACGGTGCGAATGCGTTCGATATCACTACCATTAATGGCACTAATACAATAGTCGCATTGGACACTACTTTCATATGCACCACAACGGTTACTCTCAAATGGCCATAGTATTGAGATATATAGCGCCAGGTCGGCGCGTTACACTCAATACAGCCGCAGCTTAAGCTGCAGATGTGGCCTCATATGAACACGTTTAATATTGTTTCACGACGTTCCCGAAAGCGCTGAGCCACGGTTGCGTAAGCAGATTTCTTTTTTTGGGGGGAAGGGGGAGGGGTTTAACTGTACGTTGTGCATATTCGTGAGTCTGTGTGTGTGTGTTTATGTGCGTGCAAATAATGCGTCCAATGTTGAGAATGGGTGCGTTATATGACATTTAAAAAAATAGTGGACGAAAAGATAACTTGCGGGACCGAACCTGCAATTTCTGAATAACGCACTCGATGATGAAACGATAATTTGCCGCTAGAGGGACCGAACCCGCAACCTCCGAATAACACGTCCGATGCTCAAGGTTGCAGGTTCGGTCCCTACTAGCGGCAAAGTATCTTTTCGTCCACTTTTGTATCTTCACATTTACATTACCACTAATAACTTCCCCTATTTTCTTGGCGCCATTGTTTGTTAGTTCTTATTAATATTAGGCTTGCAAAGATTGCAGTGACCTTTGTGCGCCCCGGAACTACAACGGAATTGTTCTAGTGCAAGCCCAACGCAAGCCAAGACGTATGATCCTCCCCAACAGGAGATAAGGGCACGCGACAGATCGTCCACTCCCCTTCTCTCCGCGGGCCAAAGTACGCGTGAGAGATGAAAGTCCGTGGTGCGCTCATTGAGTCATCTTGCTGATAATGCTGAAAAACCGACAGTCCCCCCCCCCCCCAGAGATGCCCGCCAACAGCGGTAAGTGGTAGATATAAATAGCATGCTGTTTGAACTTTCAAGGAGGTACCCTTCGGTGGCTCATGGAGGCCGTGCATCCTGATCGCAATAAAAACCCGCCATATGGGCCTGCCATAAAAGGTGAAGTACACATAGCATAAACAAATCAAAAGGCATTCACTCTTCGTCCACTATTGGCAGAAGTCTTTTAACATATCAATTTAAAGGTAATTCCTTCTTTAACGTCCTTTGAAGTACGTCCCGAAAATATACTTTCTCCCAACAACGTAAGAAAACATGGCTATAGTTTCCGGTTATTCACAGATAAGTCAATTTGTCCCCCAAGGTGAGTACAAACCACGGTCTGCTTCAAATGTGCTCACAGATATAGTACCTGTGTGGAGCTTGAAAAAGAAAGACTTCGCGGCAAAGCTACTTGCATTCTCTTCACTCGTTTAATAACATCTTGCCCCTGACCTCCAGTGTACATGACATGGTACAGGGGTTCAGGTAAAACAACATCACACGCATCTTTTTTACAATATTTTGCGATTCACTGAAAACAAATATTCATTAGAAAATCTAACAGATAAAAACAGTACACTTAGAATAACCCCCCTTAAGATAAGGGCAGCACCGGTCATGTCATTCGTGCTAACCACATATCCAGGTAAAGCCCGCACCACTCTCATTTGGCACACTGTACGTAAGAAAGGATCCTTGTGTAGCAAAAAAAAAGAACCTATTCACGACTTGGCGCATGAAAATATTGGGTAAACCCAGCCCTCCGTGTTTCACATTTCGAAACAGATTAGTGCGACTGCATCTCTCCCAGTTCTAGGCCCACACGAACACTGCGAAGATGCGATGGAGCTTCTGTATGTTCGCCCTTGAACAATGCAATACTTGCATCACATACCAGTTTTGACGCAAAGAAATGATTACAGACAGTCGCCCTCAAAAACACTGACAGAGGATTACCGTTGCATCTATTAGCTTTCGTCCGGATTTCTTTCGCTTGTTCTTGTCAGAGTTCTCATTATTTTTTATAATATTCCAGTGGCACCCCAAGGTACTTGACAGGTGTGGTCACCCATTTAACATTGGCAAAATAGTCTGGTCTTGACGACCACTCTCCATTCCAGGAACCCAGACACTTTCCCTAGTTTACTAGACTGCCAGTTGCATTACTGAACCTTTTAACTACACTGATGGTAGTGGTAACACTATCTTGATCGATATAACAAACAGTTCCGTGAATGTATGGCCAAATTTGTTGAACTGCAGAAAACTCAGGAGATTGTACCTGAGTGGTTGTCGAAGGTAGAGCCCTTGGCAGCACTTAGGGAATTTCAGTTTGCGTCGGACTGTTACTGCTTGTTTATGTTGTGCTTGTGGTTTATGTACGCGCCCATAAACAGGCAATAAAACAAAAAACAATCTCCTTCGGTGGCTCAGTGATTAGCGCCTTGCATTCACGACGCGGACGTCCCACGTTCGATTCCGCGTGCCAGAGTCTTTTTTTTCTTGATTTTTTCTCTTTTGCGTTTTTTCACGTATATATATATATATATATATATATATATATATATATATATATATATATATATATATATATATATTATAAGGTGCTTGACATCGACCGCCGGCGGCAAAATTTAGCCGAGAGTGTCCATATGATTGCTATTGTAATAAAAAAACAGGCCCTTAAATTATCAATTATTTACACCAAACGCTATCTGGTCCTTTAGCCGGGCGTTGTAACTAGCTATATCTACAGGAGTTTAAATAATGCAGGCAAACGAATATTTAGTGGAGTGGTAAACAACATACTCGACGACAACTTTTCTTGGCACCGAAGGAAAAGCTACGGAGCCAAATAGCGTGCATCCTACTACCAGTGAATGTAGCTCCAAAGTATCGCCCGTATTTTCAACGTGAAATATAAATGTTCCTCCTTTACTTTCTACGTGGAGCTATTTGAAGCAGGACGTAGCTTACACCAGTAAGAACATAAACTTTATTTGTCGAATCCAGACGATTCGAGTCCGGAGTTTTTTAGTGGGCCTGGGCACCCACCGCGGATGCGGTTCCGAGACCTCCTCTCGAAGCGGCTTCCTCGGCACGCTGGACGGCCCAGAGTTGTGCTGTCAGGTTCCAGCTGAGCAGTGCGGCCTTCCAACGCGAGTGGAGACTGGCGGTGGAAGAGTGATACGAATCGGCACTGTTCGAATTGTTTATTAGGCCCTGACACTCCCACAGCATGTGACTAAGGGTGGCGACCTCGCCAAATGA